TCATTTTATCAATTGTTGAAATATCAGAGTAGAAATTACTATAAGGTTAACAATGTATGCTGAAAAAAATTTTTTGAGGACTCTAATACTGAAGTTAAAACTACTGTAATCTTATAAGACATGCAATCAAAAATAACTACGTTGTAGAAAAAATAAAATGCACATTGTCAATTTGATTTTTAAAGACTTTGAAATTAACATAGAAACAAGCTAATGTATAATAATATTGAAACATACACCCAGATAGTACTGTACATGAAAATATGTACATATATATGTATAAATGTATGTATGCATATAAAAAATGTCTATGCAATGGAAATAATTAGATTCATTATAAAGCTCTTACTAGTAAAAATCTTGTTTATAGAAAGTATCTCATTTTGTGTACATACTGTTAACAACATTTTTAGCCATAGACATTTATGGTTCACAAGTTGACCAGCATTGGGTAAATAAAGTATTTAATTAAGGTAGTTGTTTTAACTACAGAAATTTATATCTGATTAGGAAATAGAACAATAGAAGTAGTATATTCTTTTCCACAATAGAACTAGTGAGTGTGATTTCAGTACAAGTTGCTGCAAAAAGAGTATAACTTGATTAAAAAAAACATTAGTGGTAATAGAAATATTTGTTTTTGTAATAGAAAATTAAGTTTGATTAAAAGTTGCTTTATTTTGGAAAAGTATAGATTGAATTCTCAAAAATATTTGTTTTTTTGCAAAGCATTTGATGACAAAAATAATTCTTATGGTGTGAACACCTTTTGCTGTCAACCCATAATGATAATCAATTATATTTATTACAAGCTGAAATATCTGTCAACTGATGGCGAATGTTTAAACTTAATTAAAACAATGTGAGTTTAACTGCAATCATATATTTCAAATTAATAACTGTAACATAAACTTTATCTGAAAATTCTAAAATTATAACAAAGTTTCTTCATAAACAACATTTGCAGTTTGATTTATATCTATCAAGAAGTAGATTTTGAGGTGATTCAACCCTTGAACAATCTACATCTCATAGACATGAGAAAAGCAACTTTCATATTCTAACTATGAATCTCTTTAGAATATTCAACATTGTCTAAAGTGTCAACCTGCCAAGATTGTTTGAGATTGACTCAGTAGGCTGAGAGTAATTAAGTAATGGGCTTTACAAAATAGAAATAGGGTTATGTTCAATTTTGACCCCTTAGGATACAGTGTTTACATACAAATTTTGGTTGAGATTGGCCCAATAGGCTCAGAGGAGTTAGGGTGCAAGCATCAACACATTTCGTCTATATATATATATATATATATCACAATAATATTATGCTTATAATAGACAATAAGTATTAGGCATATTGTATTGTTAAATACTTCATTCCTTACTCAGTCTCTTAAGTTTCTTAGAAGTAGAGTGTATAATAACATTTCATCCATACTGTTGTGTCAGCGAGGTCACGTGACTAGTGTCACGCCACGTTTCTAGAAATATCCTGTTCCTTCATGAATGCCCTAGCATTTACTAGATTGTGGGTAGTCTGGTATATATAAGATGGTCACAACGTGACAGGATAACAGTGTAGTGAGTAATTGAACTGCAGTGAGAGAGTATTGTTGAAGTTGAGCACGTTCGTTGTTATAGCGTGACTGTTGAAAATAAGTGTATCGGTAAAGTTATATTCAGGAAGAATAAACCAGTTTTATTAAGAAAGGACTTGTGTCGCTAAAGTTTTGTCGGAACGAAGTTACAGAAAATCAACTAACGAACGGAGATGTAACAAATTGGTGTCAGAAGTGGGATAAAAAAAAATGGAAACGAAAAGCGGCAAATCAAACTACAGCCTAGCAGACTTGATGGCAGCAATACAAGAACAGCAAAAGAAACAAGAAGAACGAGAAAATAAAAGAAAAGAAACAAGAAGAACGAGAAATTAAACAAGAAAGAGATTACAGCAGTTGTTGGAGGAAAAAGAAAAGAAACAAGAAGAGAGACAACAGCAGTTGCAAGAAAACCTGCAACAGTGGCAGCTCGAACAACAAAATAAACAAGAAGAGAGATTACAGCAGTTGTTAGAGGAAAAAGAAAAGAAACAAGAAGAACGAGAAAAGAAACAAGAGAAAGATTACAGCAGTGGCAAGAAAACCTACAACAATGGCAGCTCGAACAGCAAAATAAACAAGAGAAATTACAGCAGTTGTTGGAGGAAAAAGAAAAGAAACAAAAAGAGAGACAACAGCAGTTGCAAGAAAACCTGCAACAGTGGCAGTTAGAACAACAAAATAAACAAGAAGAGAGATTACAGCAGTTGTTAGAGGAAAAAGAAAAGAAACAAGAAGAACGAGAAAAGAAA